CGATCGGCGGGCTATGGACCCGCTGATCGCCTATATGTGAAACACCCGGTAACGGGTGTGTGCAACGGTCGGGTCTTTTCTGCCCGTGCGTGCCCGCTAGGGGGCGCGCGCGAGCAGAAAAAAGATGTAGCAGTGCCGTCCGTCCGTTTTTTTACTACGGGCGGACGGCAAGAGGTTAAAGGAGAACTATGGGGTCAGGGCTTTTCCCCATAGTTCTCCTAAGAGTAACGGGAGGACACAAACTAGCGTCCTCCCGTCACCCTAAGCTCAGTATACAGCTCGCGGTATACTGAGCCGTCGCAGCCGGGACGGATCCCGACATTACTGTCAAGATCCACCCAGCTACGGGATTGACAGCTTGCTCGCATTATAGAGGCAGAGCCAGCTGTGCTCACACCTCCCCCCATCCGTTCCGCCAGTCAGCGCTGGAGGATCGGACAGGGGAGGGGAGGAATCCCTGCAGGGAGCCGTGAGTGACAATCAGTGCTCTCTGCAGGTACAGGATCAAGAAGTGAGCGAGCAACGGTGTGTGTTCGCTCACTTCCCAATCTATTGAGCTGACCTGTGACAGTTTCATTGTCACAGGTCGGCTAGAACTATGAGGCTGAGTGATTTTCACTCGCCTCATAGTTCTTCTTTAAGAAACTGTAATCTTAATAATTTGGAAGCTGCCATTCCCAACTTGTTGTTGAAGGTGCAAGCCTTAGTGGTGTCCTAGTTATCCTTGCTTCACTACCTAGTAAATCACTGACCTGAACCAATTATGCTACCAGTGATGTCGGAACTCCTTGCCTCCATGACTGATGGATAGTAAAGACAAGAGTTACACCATCAAAGACTAGACAGCAATGCCAGTTTTGATATTTCTATTGTGACAGATTCCTGTTAAAGTGAATGTATACTCAAAACTAGGGATGCACCGATACCGTGTATTCAGTATCAAGTATGAGTACCGATATTTCTCTTTCAGTACTCTCTGATACCGAGTACCGATACTGGTACTTCCTTAACATAGAGCCGGCTTTGCGGGCAATCAGGTCATGTCATTCAGTTCTGCCTGTCTTCTTGATTGCCCGGGAAGCCAGCTCCATGCTGATGGGATGGGAAACCGGCATCCCAGCCAATCAGCATGGAGCCGGCCAAACAGCAGGGAGCCGGCTTCCTGGCCAATCAGGAAGCCGTAAGGCAGGTCATTACTTCCTGATTGGCTGGGAAGTTGGCTCCATGTTCCCTGGTGGCACTGCCAGTTATAGGAAATCTCCCTTTGACCAGAAGTTCCGGTATTGGGGAAGGTATCAGAGCATTAGAAGCACTCGCCCATATACTCGGTATCGGCACCGATACTAGTATTGGTATCGGTGCATCCCTCCTCAAAATGTTTCTTTTGGATAGAGTAGGGATGCAACAAACCCGTCATTTTATTTATCAGTCTTTGTATCCTGTTGGGCACTTTCACTTGGAGACCATAGGAAGTGGGGGAATAACCCCTTGCAGGCAGTTGTCACCCACCTCAGTGCCCACCTCGGAAGATTTTCCCTTACCTCCTGTTCTGGTAATATCTTTATAATGTTGGATTTCCAATTATTTCCTTTCCCCACGAGGGCGCCAGACAAGACAGTTCAAGAGTTCATATCATTTTAATAATAGAATTGGTTCACAAACAACAACACCAAATCCGTTTCAGGTGCTCAAAGACCTCCCGTTTCTTCGGGACTTAAACATAATGTGAAGTAATATGTGCTTAAAGCTGGCACAAATCACCAGGAATTATTTATTTGCTGTAATGGGGTATAGCCAAAATAAGTGAGTCAGCGAGTTTTGCTTTACAAGGAAATATGTTCTGGACCAATAACAAATTGTTTGTTCAAGTCCTGAAGAAGGGAGAGGCCTTTACCCTGAAACATGTTGACTTTATTTGATGTTCTCAATCCAATCCAATCTTGGAGGTAGCCCCAAGCTCCTTAAATGTGCAGAGACACACCAGAAGCCCAACCTCACTCAAGAGAGATGAAGACCCAGTAGGCAGAACAGTGGCTTAGTGGTTAGCACTTCTGCCTTGTAGCTTTGGGGGTCCCCAGTTCAAATCCCAGGTCACTATCTGCATATTCTCCTTGATCTTACATGGATTTTCTCTGGGTACTCTGCTTACCTTCCACATTCCAAAAGGCATGCTGGATAGGGATCTTAGATTGTAATGTCCTTGAGGGTAGGGATGAATGTGCACCGTGTAAAGCACTGCATACATTGTTGGCACTATATAAATACCAGTAGTAAATCAATAAATATTTGTAATGCGCTACCAAGTGAGATATATGATTAACTAGGCACTCCCAACCACACATGAAGGCACTGAGTTGCTGGAGGAACTGGTTTTGAGCTGTTTCTGAGTCCCTTTGATATTCTCATTGGCTTGTATAGGAAAGAAATCACCTCATATAAAAAGAAAAGCCTGTGTGCATCATGATAACTTGGTTGTCTCGTGTTCTAATAATGCATGCTAGCAGAGGGCACGTCTTCTGTTCCTGGACGGTCAATGCTCATAGCTCTAGTTTCAAGGCATTTGTACAAACCTGATCTTACATCACATTGCCACATTCTTACCATATAGAGTTTTGCCATCTTCCTGTTTGAGACATCTGCAACATCATCGTTATCGTCTCCCGCAGGAAGTTTTGGTTTCTTCCCCAACACCTGTAAAAATACAACAAAGAAAATGTTAAAAGGGTAAAAGGAGTTGCATCTCATCCGTAAGTCCCAAGGTTTCATTATATATAGATGTATAAACACTTGTCTTCCTTTTTATTAAAATGATTGCTATCGTGTACTGTGGCTCAGTGGTTGTCAACTAACAACCCAGATAGCAAGGATAACTTGCCACAAACTTGTGGCAGGGTTAGATTGTAATTCTTGTTAACTTGCAGAACACTCGCAGCACAGGTTCTAGTTGACACGTTTTGAATTTGTAGTAAATTTGCTTGGCAAGTCTACTGCAAGAGTCCTGCAGGTCTTAACAAGAGCTCTGCAAGTGTACATGACAAGGTAGAACATAGTCCCATAACAATTTTACACCCAAACTCCCATGGTACTATGCCACCACCCTCCAATACTCCCCACCTCCCAATTAAGACACCACACTCGAGATTGGAGTTAAAATGGCTGTAGCAGCCTTTTATTACAAATTTCAAGTGAAACAGGGTGTGTATAAATAACACGTTTACTTATAACAAACAATATAAATATATATATATCTCTAACTATATCTGAGGTCTGTGAAGGCACCTTTTTACTGAGATTGTCGGTCTCTGCAAACCACTTAAACACTGGTCCCTAGCCGCAACACACCGACTCAGGGACAAATATGAGAAACTGCAGAGACCTTGTAGAACTAAGACTTAGACCTCTTTACTGAAGAATCCGCCAAGGACTACGCACCTGAGACGAGTCCCTGTAACCACCAAAATGACTCAACCAAAAACACAGCCAACACAGACCTCAGGACCATTAGCGCAACAGACAGGAACCTGTACGCAACTAGTGCGAGAGAACGAAAAAAGGGGGCGGGTGGGTGGGAAGCTCGCTTGCCGTGTGGCAAATCCAGACTGAACCAGTACTACTCCACCCCCCTCCAGACCACTAAGGAGGCCCTCCTGCAACTCTTGAAACCGGCCAATCAGGTAAGTGACCATCCCCCCTTAACACTAACTTAACCCCGTACTTCCGAGTTCCCTGTCCACCCTGTCATGTAGTCCTTCCGCCTATTTTTCTTTTCTTTTGCTCCAGGACTATCTGAACTTTTGCAAAGCACGTTGATCTGGAGACTTGCAATGCAACACGATTGTGAAGCTTGGCAAGTCTGCAGTAGTTTAGCAAGCCATTTTCAAACTTGCAGCTCAATTGCTTGCTATCTGGGAAGGTGTAGGGGGGTTCAGCTGTGGCCCCTGACAGCTCCGGTGGTGCACATATTATTGAGTGTATGACAGAAGACTAGATATACTAGAGGAGGCAATCAGAGACTACAGCCATACAACAGGAGTGATCGAACTGGCAACACACTACAGGAGGCAGTCATGAGACTGCTAGAGATCACTGTCATTATACCTGTTTACGAATAAATGCTTACACTCAGGGGCGTAGCTAGAAATTACAGGGCCCCATAGAAAAATCTTGTATGGGGCCCTGTGATTTCTAGATAAGTCCACCTGATAACCCAAACAGCCCACCCAAGGGTGACCTTGCAGAGCCCACCATAGACTCTCTATGGTGAGCTCTGCAGGATCTCAGGTAGGCAGTCAAGCCCTCTTACCTGTCTGGCTGATCTTCTGTCGCCTCCTTCTCCTCCACAATCGCTTGCGAGCCCCGCCTCCTCCGTCACTGGGCCCCACCTCCTCGATCGTAGGGGCCCGCCTCCCCATCGCTAAGACCTGCCTCCTCGATCGATGGGCCCCACCTCCTCCATCGCTGCCGACGGCGGGCCCAGCCACCTCCCCGAAGCTGCTGGTTGTCATCGACTCAGCAGCTGTGAGGAGGTAAGGGCCGCTGCACATGTGAATGGCTGCATGTTTCTCCTCACAGCCGCCAGTGACAGCCAGCAGCCTGAAATGCCATAGCGACCCAGGCGGCCCGCACGGCATCAGGGGGATGTCCTGGCCAGGCCCCCTTGTGCCCCGGGGCCCCATAGCGGCCGCCTGGGTCGCTATGGTGATTGTTACGCCACTGCTTACACTACTGACTGCTGGGCTCTGCAAAGGGACACGTACAAAATACCAAAGGGTTGCATGTGGTCCTCAGGCCACAAGTTGGGCACCAGGGCTGTAGCTCTTTGCAGCAGGGTAGACCAAACACATACATACGTGGTTATATTGTAGCTCCAAATAAGAAGACGTTTTATCCTTGTGATGTATTCGTTACAATAACCATTACATTTATTCTTACATTCATTAGTATAACTGATTTAAAGGAGTTGTAAAGTCCCAGCACATCCTCTCCCATTATAACATCAGCATTGTAATAGGAATACATACTAGAGTTGTTTCTGATAATACAATCAAAGCTTACATGAAAAATGTAAGCTTATGTAGTGAGCGATGCCTTCCGTCTGCTCGTCACTTCCGACAACTTCCTGGATTCCCAGTGTGCTTTGCATCTCTTTCCCTGCTGCTTGATGTGATCTAATCCTGATTTTTCAAAACTACACAACCCATCATGCATTGCTTCCAGCAAGCAATGATAATGTTACATTGTTAAGACGTTGAGTTGTTGTTCAGAAGGCAAGCTCTGTGAGAGCGGTGACACCAGGAAGTACATATTCCAAGGGCTGAGTGTTATGGTGTCAGTGCATTGAGGTCCATCCTATGGGCATCTTCAGTTTACAAACTTGGATCTGGTTATTAGGAGCGGGCTAGAACTTACAGAAATACATTATAGAAGTACAGATCTAATTTTAGTTTATGCCTGCAGATACCTGGATTAGGTTAGGCAGCTTGCAAGGAAGGAAGCATAGGGAGGACTTCAGCAATATAATAATGATCTCTTATAATGCACTGGAAAGGCAGAGGACACAGGAAGCTAAAATTATTATTATTATTATACAGGATTTATATAGCGCCAACAGTTTGCGCAGCGCTTTACAATATAAGGAAGACATTACAGTCAAAATACAATTTAAGACAAGATGGTAAGGAGGGCCCTGCCCGTGAGGGCTTACAGTCTAAAATAGTGAAGAGCGATACCACCATCCTAACTATACAGTGTGGTAGGGATGTGTGACTCATAAGACTGTATATACTGTATACCCAAGAAGCAGTC